AGTAAGTTCGGCCGGGCCGAACTTTGAATACCCTCCACCATTTGGAACGAATTAGAAAATTTTCAAAAAAATAAAATCCAATAAAAATTCATTTAAAATCTTTAAAATATCTAATATAGGAAGGTGCCGATATATGCGGGGATATACGATATTGTGGACCTATAAAGACAAATCTATGTCTGCGTGTAAAGTACTCACAAGGAACTTCGTGTGTGGATTTTCAGACAATACGATTGGAAAATGTGGCTAAAATCATCAAAATACCGAATATCGCGGGGTACCGTTACATGGGAGCTATACGTTATCGTTAACCTATATAGAGAATTCTCTGTCGGTGGGTAAAGTGCTCACAAAGAACCCCTTGTGTACAAAGAACCCCTTGTGACCATTCCGTTGAAAAATATGGCTAAAAACATCAAAATACCGAATATCGGGGGTACCGTTATATGAGGGCTATTGTATAGCCCTTGGATCTATATAGATAATTCTCTGCCGAGGTATAAAGTACCCACAAGGAACTCCTTGTGTGGATTTTCAGACAATTCTGATGAAAAATGTGGGTCAAATCATAAAATACCGAATATCCTTTTGTGTTGATTTTAAGACAATTCCATTGAAAAGCGTGGCTAACATCATCAAAATACCGAATATCAGAGGTTAAAATATCCACAAGGGACTCCTTTTGTGGATTTTCAGACAATTCCGTTCAAAAATGTGGGTAAAATCATCAAAATACCGAATATCGGGGGGTACCGTTATATGGGGGCTATACGATATTGTGGACCTATATAGATAATTCTCTGCCGAGGTATAAAGTACCCACAAGGAACTCCTTGTGTGGATTTTCAGAAAATTCCGTTCAAAAATGTGGGTAAAATCTTCAAAATACCGAATATCGGGGGGTACCGTTATATGGGGGCTATACGATATTGTGGACCTATATAAATAATTCTCTGCCGAGGTATAAAGTACCCACAAGGAACTCCTTGTGTGGATTTTCAGACAATTCCGTTGAAAAATGTGGGTCAAATCATAAAATACCGAATATCGGGAGGTACCGTTATATGGGGGATATACGATATCGTGGACCTGTATAGGCAATTCTCTCTCAGGGGGTGAAGTACTCACAAGGAACTACTTGTGTTGATTTTAAGACAATTCCATTGAAAAGCGTGGCTAACATCATCAAAATACCGAATATCGGAGGTTACAGTTATATGGGGGATATACGATATCGTGGACCTATATAGACACTTCATTTTGAGGAGGTAAAATGCCCACGAGGGACTCCTTTTGTGGATTTTCAGACAATTCCGTTGAAAAATGTGGGTAAAATCATCAAAATACCAAATATCGGGGGTACCGTTATATGGGGGCTATACAATATTGTGGACCTATACAGATAATTCTCTGCCGAGGTATAAAGTACCCACAAGGAACTCCTTGTGTGGATTTTCAGACAATTCCGTTGAAAAATGTGGGTAAAATCATCAAAATACCGAATATCGGGGGGTACCGTTATATGGGGGCTATACGATATTGTGGACCTATACAGATAATTCTCTGCCGAGGTATAAAGTACCCACAAGGAACTTCTTGTGTGGATTTTCAGAGAATTCCGTTCAAAAATGTGGCTAAAATCATCAAAATACCGAATATCGGGGGGTACCGTTATAGCATTTTCAGATTAAATGAAACCTTTTGCAATTCAAATGAATCTTTTTGCAGCGGGAATGAAACCTTTTGCAGTGGAATTGAAACCTTTTGCAGTGGAAATGAAACCTTTTGCAGCGGGAATGAAACCTTTTGCAACCGAAATGAAACCCTTTGCAACCGAAATGAAACCATTTGCAACCGAAATGAACTTTTTGCAAATCAAATGAAACTTTTAAATTTATAGAAGGAAAAATAACAAAACATTTATATTTTTAGTAGTTTTTAAATTAAATCAATTAATTATAACTAATATATTGACAAAGAGGATTTTTTATTGACTATAAATATCTACATTTATTTATATTATTTCTTAAATTTTCAATTATTGTATTAAAAAATGGTTCTTTATTGATTTGATATAAAATGCTTCCATATTATTAAATTCCAAATGCTTAACGCTAAAAAGAGAAATTTAAACAAATTTTGGCCTTTATAGGTATGTCCAGGACTGAAATGTGAAATTAAGCTTTACCACAATTTTTTATAGTTATAGTATACTATTAATCTTTCCTAATAAAGGATTCCCGCTTCGCAGCTTTATTGATTATGGAGATAAAGCAGTCGTGATTTCAATAGACAGATAAGTGGAAATCATTAAATCAACTATGATCATGATTGTATATACTTTATGGGGTCTACGACGAATATTTAGAGGTGTTACAAACCGAATGACAAATTTAATATATCCTCCTTTCCATGGAGGAGATTATAAAAAGGTACCTAATTCGGGTCCTTTGAAAAAAATACCTTGAAAAACTTTTTTCAAACTTTCTGCATCTACACTTGTGTTTTATGGAAGCTTAAGAAAAAAATTTATAAAAACATAGTTATTAATAATCAATAAAAATTCCTCTTTAACTATATATTAGTTATAATTAGTTTATTTAATTTTGAACCTACTAAAAATAAAAATGTTTTGTTATTTTTCCTTCTATAAATTTAAAAGTTTCATTTGATTTGCAAAAAGTTTCATTTCGGTTGCAAATGGTTTCATTTCGGTTGCAAAGGGTTTCATTTCGGTTGCAAAAGGTTTCATTCCCGCTGCAAAAGGTTTCATTTCCACTGCAAAAGGTTTCAATTCCACTGCAAAAGGTTTCATTCCCGCTGCAAAAAGATTCATTTGAATTGCAAAAGGTTTCATTTAATCTGAAAATGCTATATATGGGGGCTATACGATATTGTGGACCTATATAGATAATTCTCTGCCGAGGTATAAGGTACCCACAAGGAACTCTTTGTGTGGATTTTCAGACAATTCCGTTGAAAAATGTGGGTAAAATCATCAAAATACCGAATATCGGGGGGTACCGTTACATGGGGGCTATACGATATCGTGGACCTATATGGACAATTCTCTGTCGAGGTATAAAGTACCCACAAGGAACTCCTTCTATGTATTTTCAGACAATTCCGTTGAAAAATGTGGGTAAAATCATCAAAATACCGAATATCGGGGGGTACCGTTATATGGGAGCTATACGATATTGTGGACCTATATAGACATTTCTCTGCCGAGGTAAAAAGTACCCACAAGGACCTCCTTGTGTGGATTTTCAGACAATTCCGTTGAAAAATGTGGGTAAAATCATCAAAATACCGAATATCGGGGGGTACCGTTATATGGGGGCTATACGATATTGTGGACCTATATAGATAATTCTCCGCCGAGGTAAAAAGTACCCACAAGGACCTCCTTGTGTGGATTTTCAGACAATTCCGTTCAAAAATGTGGGTAAAATCATCAAAATACCGAATATCGGGGGGTACCGTTATATGGGGGCTATACGATATTGTGGACCTATATAGATAATTCTCCGCCGAGGTAAAAAGTACCCACAAGGACCTCCTTGTGTGGATTTTCAGACAATTCCGTTCAAAAATGTGGGTAAAATCATCAAAATACCGAATATCGGGGGGTACCGTTATATGGGGGCTATACGATATTGTGGACCTATATAGATAATTCTCTGCCGAGGTATAAAGTACCCACAAGGAACTCCTTGTGTGGATTTTCAGACAATTCCGTTGAAAAGTGTGGCTAAAATCATCAAAATACCGAATATCGGGGGTACCGTTATATGGGGGCTATACGCTATTGCGAACCTATATAGATAATTCTCTGCCGAGGTATAAAGTACCCACAAGGAGCTCCTTCATTATTACGCTAAAAAAATGGCAAAACCATGATAATATTTACAATTATTTCATCACACATCAAGCAGAAAAGGGCCCTCTTCATGCATCGATGGACAAACCTGATAAATGGTGAGTGACATTTTTTGATTATTGATTTTGCCTTGTAAGAGTGAAAAAGTTAAGAATTGTGATAATGAACTATGAGCTATTCTAAAACCCAAAATTGTTAATCTTGTTGTTTATGGAATTCAATAACTGTCATTGTTATGTTCTCGTTTATTAATGATTTAGGAAAAAGAAAAATATAAATTTTACAAATGCAATCTTCTAAAAGAATGCATTCTTTATAAAATAAACCAAGTGTTCCAAAAATAGTATTTTGTTCCAAAAGAATTTAGCCTTTACAATTGGAAATAATAATTGATGTACACGATTTGTTTTAATCGAATTATTTAAAAATAGGAACTTAAAAAATATTAAACTTTGATATTTCTCTAATCCTATCCAATTCTTATGGTATATATTAACTTTTTTGGAGCTCAATAAATTACAGTATATAATTCTAATATAAGTCTCTTAATTACGTTTCGCGATATACCTATATTACTCCATTTATATATATCAAAAAAAATAGTAATTGCCATTTAAATCTTAGAATTCGGTTCTAATCGACCAAAATTGAGATAATTATACCTATATTTAAGAAAGTTTTATAATTGAAATTACTATGAATTTTCATGAATAAAAATCGATATAAAAATGATCAGTGAGTAGATTTTGTCATGGGTGTTTCCCTTCGAGGCGATGGTCAGATGAATAAGTAAAGCATTGACAAGCTATTAATTTGGGGTTCTATAGAATATTACGCCACTAGAACCATAGGTAGGGAGGGTTTTGAGGCACAGGTTTCGAATAACATCCTGAGAACCTGATTTCGTCTTCGTCGAAAGGATATATTTGTTTGCCTAGGGGGCTTTAGTTTATTAGCGCATATTTAAGAAAATTAGGAGTCTACAATAAATTTTATTGTGTCGTATCATTATAGCGATTCTCAGTGAATAGGACACGAACCCCCCAACGACTGTTTGCTAGCCCCATAAATGGCTCCGATCGTCCTAATTCATTTGAGTTTTAAATATTTTGTTCAGAACAGCTCCAGTAGTGCAATTGATACGTTACATAATTGAAGATGGCGCCCAACTTGGGGCATAAAGAACTTAAACTACCTTTCTGCAGATTCAGATGGTTGACATCTGTAGATCGATAAAATATTCTATTTTTGGGTGATTTTAAAGATTCTATATGTTTTAATGTCCCCGCAAAAATCTTTAGAAATCATATGCTCATAACGCATAATGGTAATACGTTCTATTTGCTCATTCAATAGTTTTATTAAAAAGTAGATTTCAAACTCAAAAGCATAACGTTCTCTATTGACTAAATTGAAGATAATTTTTTTGGGACTATACTTTATTGCCATTCTGGAAATTAGGCTTTTGAGTCAATGAATTCGAGGGACCTAACCGATTAGTCAAATGATTTATAGGCTTGGAAGTTATATTTATATTTAGGAATTCGACGACGTTTTGTTGTGTATTTTACGGCTAATTTCATTATAAATCAGATCTTAGATATCAGAACTAATTAATTATATGGAAAATAAAATTTTGCAAATGCGAAATTTTATCCGGTAATTATTTAGGAATATCAGATATAAAGTTTATGTATATTTCGACTGGTTTGATCTGAATTATAATGAAAATATTTGTACTGTACATCCATAGACCAATTTGCATTCCTCTATCCTTTTATAATTATCATCTGTACCTGAATCTTATGGAGTGAAACACCAACTACTTGATTATTAACTTTTATATTTTGGTTACTAATATTTTGAAATATCCAATATTTGGAATTTAAACCTATTTTTTTGTTGTTGTTTTAATATTTGAACAATATGTCATTGGAGCGGACACCACCACTCCCAAGGTCAAGTTCCAATAATCCCCTTGGAGAGACCACGAATATTGAAACAGACATTCACAGAGACCAAACCGTTGAAACATTATTGTGTCGTATTTGTAATGAACTTCTGGCCGAAGGTCAAGACTGTCTATCTTTGAATCAGTGTTCGCATACATTTCATCGGAATTGTATAGAACTCCACTTGTCTTCGACAGCTGAATGCCCAACATGTAAAATTTCATGTATGTTATCCGATTTGAGAAGGGTTTCTCTTGGTCCTAGACCACAGCCCAAACCAGTTCAAAGAGGAAAAGGTCGTGGTGCGCTGTCGAAACATTACAATACTCGATATGCGAAGAAGAATCTATTTCACGAACCAAGTAATTTGCTCGATTTTAGTGCAGAATCACAAGGAGCCGTAGGTATGACCCCTACTCACCAAAACCGAAATATAGAACCTGTGCAAGAAAGTAACCGTCCTTTAGCACAACAAACTGTTCAGAGTTCGATAGACTATGGAGAAATCCAAAAAATGGTCGAAACGAACTTATGTAGTCTTTTAACCCGACTTAACATTTTACCAACCAATCCTCCTGTATCTGATCCTAATATTCCAAATCCAGTCCATACTTATGGATCTTCCAATAATGATCGTAATACCAATGTACGAAGTTCAACTGTACTTCCACTACCACAGGTCCAATCAAATTCGCCAAATCAGTTTTCAGTTTCAAATGTACCACTACAGCCAGACAAAATTACAACAATTATACAAAATTGGCACCTTAAATTTGATGGGTCTCCAACTGGGTTAACAGTTGATGAGTTTTTATACCGAGTCACGACGTTGACCGAAGACACATTCAATGGTGATTTTTCACTAATATGTAAAAATTTAAATATTCTATTGTCCGGCAAAGCGCGTGAATGGTACTGGCGGTACCGAAAAAATGCCAATCCTATTATATGGGAGGACTTTTGCGACTCCATTAAATTTCAGTACCGTGACTTCAAAACTTCTTTTGACATTCGTGAAGAAATTAGAAATCGAAAACAAAGAATTGGAGAAACCTTTGATTCGTTCTTTGATGCGGTAACTGCTATTCATGATCGATTGCCAACACAGATGTCGGAAATGGATCTTATTGAAATTCTTACACGTAATCTACGTCCTGAAATCCGACAAGAAATTCTTTACATTCCAATAAATTCTCTAGCCCATCTCCGTAAATTAGTGCACATGAGAGAGAACTTTCTAAGTGATGATTACGTAAAGAAGCAGTTGTCCAATAGGCATGTAAGTGCCTACCCAATGAAAAAACAAATCTCTGAAATTTCTGACTATACATTACAATCTTCTGAAGATTCTTCGGAATCAATAAATGCAATCCAAGGTTTTCATCAAGAATCCCGTTGTTGGAATTGCGACGAAAAGACCATTTTTGGGAAAATTGTTTTTAACGAACGTAAGGTATTTTGTTACGGCTGTGGGGCCAAGGATACCTACAAGCCCAATTGTATAACCTGCACAGAGGCAAAGTCAAAAATTCAGAAAAATTTTCGACATGGAAACCTTCCAAAGAAAAATCCTTAGCTGATGTTAGTTCCAACCAGAAGCCCACATCTACTAATGTTAAACCGAAGATTGGCACAACATTAACAGAATATAATAAAACTAATTTTTTACTAAATAATGATAACTCCGATCATAAACTCTCATTCGATATTCCGACCACATCACATTGCTCCACCAAATATACCCAAAATAATTTACGTCTCATATTTCCAAGACTACCATATCATAAACGTTATGAACTCTATATGGAAAGAAGAAATGCCATATTTAACGAAACTGATAAATGTGTAGCCTCCATACAGAAACCTAGACGTTCTACGTTGCGGCTTAGAAAATATTTCCGTTTGAAGAAAATAGCCAGAAAAATATTAATTTCGGCCATAATATCAAATTCATCAGACAAACGCTTTTATGCTCAAGTTTCATTTCTGGACCTCAAGGAATATGGTCTCTTAGATACCGGGGCTAATATAAGTTGCGTAGGTTCCGAATTAGCCAACTACCCTTTCCATCGTTATACCAATTTTGTCCGTTGTAAGTCGGTTGTTCGAACGGCAGATGGCAAAACTCAAGAAGTCAAAGGTTGGGTAGAAGTCTATATCTCATTTAAAGGTCAGACCAAGCCCATCAAATTGTTTATTATTCCTACAATATCCTCTCGGCTAATACTTGGGATTGACTTCTGGAAGTCCTTTAATCTGGTGCCCAATATCATTAGTTCCGTTGATATTTTTGAAAACCCTTTACCAATAGACGAATCATCCCTTATTCATAAACCTGAGTTTGACAGAACCGAGGATCTTAACTCTGAATGCACTGAACCTTTTGTACCATTATCCTCAGATCAACGTTCACAACTCGACGTTGTTATCTCAATGTTTCCAAATTTCGAGAAACAAGGTCTTGGTAGAACGAATTTGATTAAACACCGTATAAATATAGGAAATGCAAGTCCCATAAAGCAAAGATTTTACCCTGTATCTCCTGCGGTGGAGAAAATCATTTACAAAGAAATCGATAGGATGTTAGATCTTGGCGTAATTGAAGAATCTAGTTCTCCATGGAGCTCGCCCATGAGATTGGTTCTAAAACCCCGAAAAGTACGCCTATGCTTGGACGCGAGGAAGCTAAATTCAGTGACCCAAAAGGACGCATACCCCCTCCCCAACATAGATGGTATATTTGCTAGATTACCTAAAGCCCAATTGATCTCAAAAATAGACCTCAAAGATGCGTATTGGCAGATTGCCTTAGAAGAGGAATCTAAAGCCTATACCGCATTCACTATCCCCGGACGTCCTTTGTATCAGTTTGTGGTGATGCCCTTTGGTCTGTGTTCGGCTCCCCAAACGATGTCTAGATTAATGGACCAACTGATTCCACCTGATTTAAAACACAGTGTATTTGGTTACTTAGACGACCTAATAATAGTTTCCGAAAATTTCTCTAATCACCTTGAAGTTTTAATGCGAATTGCAGCACAATTCCGAAAGGCCAAATTGACCGTAAATGTTGCCAAAAGTAAATTTTGTGTTGTACAGGTAAAGTATCTAGGATACGTCATCGGGAATGGAGGCATATCCACGGACCCAGATAAGGTGACAGCCATTCTTAACTGGCCTGTCCCGAAAAATTTAAAACAACTGAGAGGATTTTTAGGACTGGCAGGATGGTATCGTCGCTTTGTTGAGAACTTTTCTACCATAGTAGCCCCGATCTCAGACCTTGTTTCTAATAAGAGCAAATTCCGATGGACATCACAAGCACAGGAAGCATTTGACAAGGTTAAAATGTTGTTAACAACCGCACCCATTCTCGCTAATCCTGATTTTAGTAGGAAATTTTTTGTGCACTGTGACGCAAGTAATTATGGCATTGGCGCTGTTCTCGTCCAATTGGATGATGAAGGCAACGAGAGGCCAATAGCCTATATGAGCCGCAAGCTCAATACTGCTCAACGCAATTACAGCGTCACAGAGCGCGAATGTCTTGCTGCTATCGAAGCCATACACAAATTTCGTTGCTATATTGAAATGCAGGAGTTTGAGGTCATAACAGACCATTCTAGTCTGCTCTGGCTACTTAAGCAGCCTGACCTAAGTGGTAGATTAGCTAGATGGATATTTAAACTCCAATCTTACAGCTTCTCAATTAGCCATAGAAAGGGGAAGGACAATATTGTACCGGACGCTTTATCACGTATACCCGAACATGACCTTGCATCTTTGGATGTATCCGAACAGGAAATAGATCTCAACTGTCCTCATTTTTATGATCCGGACTATCAGGAATTGAAAAACAAAATCCTCTGCAATCAGTCAAAATACCCCGACATAAAATTGGTTGATAATTACATTTATATAAGAACCGGACATTATTCAGGAGATGATGAACAAGATGATAGATGCTGGAAGCTTTGGATACCTTTTAATCTGCGTCAAGAAGTTCTTTCCAGAGCCCATGATTCACTACTTTGTGCCCATGGAGGTATGACAAAAACAATCCATTTACTTCGTAGAAACTTTTTCTGGCCAGGTCTTGTAAAAGATGTACGTGAATACGTAAGAAAATGCGAAACTTGCAAAGAAACAAAGGCACCTAATTTTATCATGAAACCACCTATGGGTAATCCAATAATTTCATGCAGACCTTTTCAACGACTCTACATAGA